GTGTGTGTGTGTGTGTGGCACACTGAATGGGAGCAACCTTTTGCCCAGCCAGCAGAGGGCACTGTGTTCAGCTTTCTATAAGCGCCATCTTTTCCCGTTATCTGTTGGCTCTCCTCTGTTCTTCCCTCGCTGCAGTGAATCAATGGCTCACCGGTCCTCCCAGCTTCTCAGTCCCATTGGTTCCTTACTCGTGGGTACAAAACAATGGATAGATCTGTTTTGCTCTTCTTCATTTCAGTTGGTGGTGGTTATGATTCAAGGATTTTTGACTGTGTTTTAAAGGTTTGTTTTCTTTTGTTTTCTTTTTATTTGTTTCTCTATTAAAGTGTTTTTATTGAAACTGTTTGAGTTCTGTTTCTCTGTCTTCTGAATTGTTGTGTAGTTGTGCCACCTGGGTCCAGATGGACCTTTACTGCATTAAATAACGCGGTCCCAGATAAGTTTTCCACAGCATTTCAAGATTGAATTTTTATTACAAACCTATAAAGCAGTATATAACAAACACACTCAAAATCTAACGCATTCCAAACGTTACTGCATGCCTCGTTCAGTGAAAAAAACCACTAGAAGTACAGGAGGTTCACGTCAACAGCTGCCTCTATTTTAAACCACTGAATCTTTTTTTTTTTCTTTTTTTTTTTTGAGTGACAATACAACTTTAAAGTCAAGTCAAAGAAAACTTATTTTAAAAGTAAATAAACAACTGGATTCTTTCCTCCTCCGTGCAAAGATGGATGCAAGGCTGACACAACAATGACAGTGTGGTTCTTCAGATACACCACGTCAGCACAAAACGGTCTGAAATATGAACTCCTTGGTGCTCGAGTCTGTTTGCACAGAACAGCAGCCATTTCGTGAGTGACTTTGAGAAAAGTAAAAACAAATATTTAAGAGCCTTTCGGTGTGTCACATAACGTCAGCAGCTGTATAACCTGACTTCTTTTTATAATGTTGTATTTAAAAAGAAAAAAAAAAAAAAAAGCCCAGTAGAGGAGAAGTTCTGTAAGTGTCTGGCTGCGAACTTCATGCTTCTTGTTCTCTTTTATATCCCCTTGGTTGGTGTTGCGCAATACAGGCTACACAGAAAAGGTTTATTCTAATAATGTCCTGTACATTTTTGCTTTTTAAACCCAGGTGACCTAATTTAGTTCAAATCCCCCACCAAATAGAATGGTCACTGACCAACTTTCACTCCTTAATGTGGACTGTTACGCTGTTACAACTGAATTATAAACTGCAAGTAAACATCAGCTAAAGTCCGTGCTCATAATCTGAAAATATAGTGCAGCTCCATCACTCTATTAGTTTGCCACTTGCATATTGTGTGATTGCACAGCGTGACATCATTTACAACCGAAATTAAATTCAATTGGCGCTCATCTCTCTGAAACTCTGCATGTAAGGTTACAATTCAGTAAAAGACCATGAATTTGTGGCTTTTTTTCTGTTATCTATGCTAACAGCGTGTATAGATGCAAATGGACATTTGCCACATGGGTCAAACGGGTCATAACAACACATGAAAATGAACAGAGGCATGTTTTGTATCAGTTTGGCATGGAAGCTGTCAAGGCCTTGTATGTGCACCTGCTAGAACTGAACCTTTTCCAACATGACTGGTGCTGAAGACTTTGGGTGTTTAGCATTCCGCTTGCTACAGACACATACACCCAGACTCTGAGCAAGTAGTTTGCTCAAAGCTTTCCTTTACTCAGGAAGTTCTGGACTTAATGTGCAATTATTTAACTTTAAATGATGTTTTTTCTTCTTCTTTTATTCATCATTAGAGATTTACCGTTTAAGCTATAGGCTAAAAAATGACTTAATTGACAGTATAAGAGGGCTTCTTGGAGTGATGCCATAAAAAATACAGAAGCACATTGCCTATGTACACGATATCATACATAATGCAGTACATAAAATCACCTGACCTGGATGTCAGGCCATTAATGCTCAAAATGTTTGTCTTTTTAACTAAGGAGTGACACATGGGGGAACTAGTAAGACCAAGGTCATAATACAATACCTTTTCACCAGTAAAAACATGCCAGCACTAAATCATGAGTTGGAGGGGGAAAGGAATATCTTAAAAAATACTACTAAATCCCATGTGGGAAATGTCAGCTCTTAGTGACGAGTAGAGCAGGTTTTAAGCAACTGTGGCCTAGAAAACACAAAATTGCAGGCATTACAAAGGGCCGCTCTTTACACTGTGGTTTCTTCTCTGATGACAAGCTGATGTCGTTGAATCTAACATCTGTATTCAAAATAAAAGACAAGTCATTCTTTTCCTGCATTTGTCCGTATGTCTTGCTATCACTCAACTTGTTCCGGTTCGGCGTCCATGCAGGTTTCCCATGGATTCCTGGGCATCTGAGGCATGGAGAGGAACAAGAGTGCAATGCCACAGAGAAAGAGGAGGACAAAGCCAGTGCAGGCACAAGCAAAGGACCAGCCGTAGTAGTATTCGATCCAAATTGTCTCCTCGCTCTCGATCATGCGCTTCACTGACTGACGCATCACCTCCAGTGAGATGAATGCACAGAGACCTGAGAAAGAGAGTGATGCTTAAACATTAGACACGGCTTATAGTAACACCTGTGGCACCCGCAGATTCCCATGCTCACCAAATATGAAACACACACTGAACATAAAAGCAAAACGACTGTGAAACAGAAACTGAACACACCTGCAAATGCAAAAAACATGCCAGCAGGTTTAAGGAGGTAGTCTCTTTTTTTGCCTGTACCAGTACATGAGCCCAGCACACAAAGAGAGCCAAGGATCATGAAGGCCAGACTGAAGATGGAGATGG